CCTGTGTGTGTAGGGCGCGCTCTTTCAGGTACATCGTATAGTAGGATCTTCCTAACTGTGCTGTCTCCTAGGTGGTAGTAGCCCTGGAGCTGTTGCAGGCCTATTTTAGCGAATTTGAAGAGCCGGCGTATGCCCTCTTTGTGCTTGGTTCTGATCTCTGCACCTGGGAGACGTGGAGACATAGGTGGAGTGGTAAAAGGATCCATAATGGTGGAGTTGTTGATAGTTTAGTCCTAATGTGAAGAGTTTTAATTTCGAGGTTCTACAGCCTGAACGCACGGACCTTTGTCCCCATGTTCGTAAGTTGTTCTGCTCTTTAAACGTGGCCTGTATTGTCGGTGGTAGAGTGGCTGTTAAGTAAACAAACTGCGTACGGACGTTGCGGATCAAGGCGAGGTTAACTATAGCCTAGCGATAGTCGGACGCTGTAATAGTCAAGTGAGCCTCGTTAAACACAATGCGGCCGAGGTCTTGCATAGCCGCGAGCTTGTGGGCATAAGTCCGAAACTGTTCCGTACATGTTGCTTCAACTGTAATAAACACCAAGGGTGCATCTTGCTGCTCGCTAGGCGCCCACACCAAGTGATCGATCCCCAACTCTCGGACTCGGCGGAGGAGGTCCCCTCGCAGAGATATAAGGGGCAAGACTAAGATCGTTACCCTAGTATTAGGGAGGATGTAGGGCAGTATGAACAGCAGGCTCTTCCCCTCGCTAGTAGCTATGATAACCACCACTTGCTTAGTCTATGACATGACAGTAGTCACAGCCCGTTCCTGGGCTACTGACCTCTATTGCAGCGTGTCATCCTAGTACAGCTTTCTAGCGCTCTTTAGTAGAGCCATAGCTGACCACTTCTTCTGTGGCCGGTAGACCCCCATGGCGATCTTCTTAAGCATTTGCGGACCACCAATGTCTTTACCATCCCGCTTCCTCTTCCTAGTAGGTCCAAGCAGCTAGTTAAGCCCCCATAAGTCCTTCCACAGAGTTGAAGCACGCAGATTCCGGCGGATAAGGCTATCCTATACATTCCTAAAGTTAGCATTATGTTGGTTTGTATATGCCCGATTAATAGTCCGCGTACTATGGTTCCGCTGCTTGGTCATAACCCGAATGTCAGCCTCAATCTCTTCGGCATCCTCGTCGTTAGCCCCGTCGTCAACCTCAAAGCACCTAACGTTAGCTGCAAACTTAGTTTTAATGATATTGACTGTTATCTGCCGCTAGTTGGCTATATGTAGCCTAGGGATGCTAGCCCGACTACACGCCTGCTCTATGCACCGCGTGAGCCGGTTGTCAGCCCAGACCTTCCCGTCTTACCACTATAAGTACGGAGAGATAATAGTATGCGGGGCAGACTAGCGGAGGAAGACTTAGCGGAGCGGGATGACAACTACCAAGTAGTCGAGCAAGAGGTCTCCAACGGGTGCAGGCAAGAACCGGATATTATCCTTAAACTTGCCCGTTTGCTGCTGACCTTTGTGGTATGTAGTGTGTAGTATAACTAGTCTGTGCTTAAGGTAGACGTTTCGCCGCCGCTGGGTGTTACACCAGGTGACGGAGAACAGTTCACTCTCGCGCAGAGGCTAGCTAGAACCCATGTGGATTAAGACTAAGAGCCTTTTTAGGAACTCGTTAGCCACGGCCTCATACTGCTCAATCGCCTTCCCTCGCCAGACCTTAGCGCCATCCGCGGTGGCATCCAGGAACGAGTCCCGCAACGGCTTCGAGTCTTGGATAACGGTTAGCAAAGACCTCGCTAGCGGCTTTACTAGCTCAACGTTCTCCCGGTGCTGGCCAAAGAACCAGCCAAAGGCATCGGCGTCCAAGTTGTCCTTTAAAGCCCAAGTACGCATCCGCGGGAGGTTCTGGGCCCCGAATATTAGCTCGTCGTAGAGTAGGTGCTAGGCCTGCTAGAAGTCGGAGAGTAAGAGCCGCGGCACGTGATCCATATGCAAATCAACGTCCCGGTAGGTCAGGACCTTCTCGTCCACATCCCACTGTGCTTGGTGCGGCCCAACGACCTCCTTCGAGACAGTAAACAGCAGTAAGCGCTAGCCGAGGATCTCGCCCATGGGAGTCTCGGTGTCCTGCTTTAAGAACCGCCCGCAATACTGCTCAATGCGCTCGAGTGTATCACCTAGCTCCGCCTTCTCTAGACAGGCGCTGGCGTGGAAGATGATGAGCTGCGCAACCTAGATCACACCAGACAAGCAGCTATTATAGTTGCCCGGCTCCTTCCAAGTCTTGGTGTGTGGCTTGACGCTGAGCATAGCGCAGAAGCTGAGTAGTGGGGAGTTGTACCGATTGCCTCCAAATTCGTGGCAGATCAGCGCCATTGAGAGGACGGATATAGCATCTCTCAGCGCAGGCCGGTCCTGCTCGACAGCACTTTGGAAGGCCGCTTCCCACGCCTTCTCCTGGGCATCCGTGAGCTGGATGCAGCTCTCAGGGGTCCGCTGGTCGTCGTCGGCCGTGGTGAAGTGGCTGCCGCGGTAGACGACCCGGTAGCAGAACGTCAGGAACTGCTTCTAGTAGCCGAAGTTGGTCTTGAGCGTATTAGGCTCCTTCTTAGGGTCGAAGGCGCGTATCTTCTGCCCCGGGGCAGCGCCAGTATGAAAACGGCTCAACGCTAGCTGCCGTGGCCAGGTCAGCATACAGTCTGGGCCGTCGAAGCACTAGCTATGTGCCTCTGAGAAGATTTCGTCTATGACCTCCAGCATTAAGAATAGCTCGGGCTCGCTCTCGGCATTCTTTGGCACCGCAAAAGAGGTGTGCATCTCGTCCTTCTTCAAGCCCCGCGTGTGCTCCTCGATGCCCGTCCGTCGAAGCTACGGCACCACAGCAGATTTATAGCTACCGAAGCCATGAACGACGTTGGCTTCTGCTTTGGCATCCTCCTCTACAACCGCTACGTCCTCGCTAAGCTGTTTGAAGAAGTCTGCCTCCCTTGGATCTAAGCTCTTT